CAGGGCAGGGACATAACCTTCACAGTATAGTTCTCATTTATCTCCCGGCCCAATGTCTTATAAAACTGAATCTCAATGTGCAGTTGTTGGGTAATGGGCAGCTACACAACTCATGCTGTGTATAGTTAGTTATTCATATACACAAGTCTGTCTTTCCTGTTTGACCAAGACTAGGCTCAAGTCTTGTTCATCTTTCTATTCCTGGCAACTGGAAAAAAGCAAGGCACACAGTACGTGCTTAATGTTTCTTGAGTAAATAGTGACTTTTTCCATCCTCTAACCAAGTCATTATTTTAGGTTAAAATCACCAGATAGCACTATATGCATTGTATATTGGAATAATTAATTATAATATTAATAATGAATTACATGATATAGTGATATCTTGTTAATACATATGTAAACAATAAGAACTATTACATATTATATACTGTGTAATATATTACTATTAACCATTATAAATATTATATTTTCATGAAATATTTTCATTTCTAAATTGGGACATTATCATGAGGTGTTCATGTAGCTAAAGGATATCAGCAACTTAAAAGCTCAATATGGTAATGAAGGAAGACATAATTTCCTGTTTGATAATAACGTGACAGGAATAGCTCTAAATGCCTTCGGTGGATCACAAACCTAACTTGTTCCTCTAGCCAAGGTTCAAAACTGTAAAACCCTACAAAAAGTGACCAAATTATCCATGTGGGTTCATTAATTTTCTAAGTTCTACAGAGGACTTTAACATGTGAGTTACTGTTTTTGCCCACAAGAATTCTACAAGACTAACACAAGAATGGTAAGAATTTACAAGGAAAGTGTTCTTCAAAAAAAATACAACATCTATATAACAAAGTCTTAGTAAGAGATTTTAAAATGGCATCCATCCATTCCGCTCACTTCTAGATCAGGAGCAATCCTTAGAAGAAGTTCTCAGAAGATATCAGACAATAGTTATGCCCAATTTGTGTATGCTCATAAAATATTTTACTGCAGTGCAAGTCATCAGTTGGTTTCCACCAGAATTCACTGACCATTGAGCTTTGGAGGAATCCAGGCATAATAATTTTAGTTACCTTTATAAAAACATTCAACTGGGTGCCATGACTTGAGCCTGTAATCCCAGCACTTTGGGAGGCCAAGGCGGGTGGATCACCTGAAATCAAGATTGTTCAAGACCAGCCTGGCCAACACAGCGAAATCCCATCTCTACTAAGACTACAAAAATTAGCTGTGCATAGTGGCGAGCACTTGTAGTTCCAGCTACGCAGGAGGTTGAAGCAAGAGAATAGCTTGAACAGGGAGACAGAGTTTGCAATGAGCCAAGATCATGCCACTGCACTCCAGCCTGGGTGACAGAGACTCCATCTCAGAAAAATAAACAAATAAAAGAAATATAAAAACATTCATAATCAGATTTAGAGGAAAAAGACATCTTCTAGATGATGAAGGATGCACAAGGGCTGATACTATCTTTTAAGTTAAGTCTGTATTTCTTGTGGCATATAAAAATATCTGGCATGGGCTAGGCACAGTGGCTCATGCCTGTAATCCCGCACTTTGGGAGGCCATGGCAGGCAGATCACCTGAGGTCAGGAGTTCAAGCCAGTCTAGCCAAGGTAGTGAAACCCTATCTCTACTAAAAATACAAAAATTAGCCCAGCATGGTGGTGCAGCCTGTAATCCCGGTGACTCAGGAGGCTGAGGCAGGCGAATCGCTTGAACTGGGAGGCAGAGGTTGCAGTGAGCCGAGATCGCACCACTACACTCTAGCCCAAGTGACAAAGCAAAACTCAAAAAAACAAAAACAAACAAACAAAAATCTGTCATGTTGGAGGCACTCAATAAATACTGGCCAAATGAACTAATGATATAATGCTCTGGATTAAAAATATATAATAATACATAATTGACTATACGTGTTGATTCAAATCAGCACAATCAAAAACAGTGGCAAATTACTGTGTAAATACATTTTAAAAATATATTTAATATTGTACTATTTGATATGATATGCATGTGTTCAAAGGGACCTCTAAAGAAGCATATTTAATAACTCTCCATCAACTACGGGGGCAAAGTGTATATTAAACCCTCGTGTATGTCCATTACTATGCGAGGCACTTTGGGAAATGGAAGAGTATACAGAGTGCATGCACACAATGAATGTTGCATGCATGAACCCTGCCCACTGAAGTCTCAGAAGCCAGGAATAGGGATAGCCCAAGCATGACAAATGTGACTACAGATAAAATGTTATGTAAGAATCTAAGGAAAATATAAACCAAGTAAATAGAGGTCGTAGAAGCATATTTCTTCTTAGCTTACTTTATTGCACATTTATATCTTAGGTTTATAATTAAGTCCCTTCTCATTACATGCAAAAATGGAACTGAACTCCACATTAGTGCTTATTTGTTTTCAGATTACAGTACAAGCCAATTTTGAAAACATAATCTAAAGGTAATCTCAACCAACCAAAAAAAATCGTATCTCAATTAGCCAGAATAAAGAAGTTATTTTACATAGCTAGGTAAAACATATTTCATACTGTAACACAATTTATTCAAATCACCAGATGCTAGTCAGTTATTGTTTGCCTGTGAGGCCAAGGGGCAGGCCACTTTGCAAAGGTTTAAATGGTGAATAAAACACCCTTTCCAATCAACAAGCAATCTCACCAGCAATAGTTTAAAACTGTTTTTTTTTTTAAATAAAAACTGTGCATTCCAAAAATTAAAATCTTTCAAACAACAACAAAAATGGCACTCTGATTAAACTTCATTTTAGATCCTGTAGGGCACTTTGGCCCAACTTGGTTTTACTCTAGATTTCACTGCCATCCCACTCCGCTAAGTCCTGCACCAACATCCGAGCTATTTTCCTTCCCTGCCAGCCAGACAGGGGATGGCAGAAGCAGGTGGCCTTCATTGTCAGCAGGTCTTCGATGTCAAAAGGGTAGCACAGTCCTTTCAAACTCATCCAACGTGTTTGCATCTAACCAAGTTAAACAACTAAAAGAAGTAAAATAAGAAAGCAATGCTTGTAGAATGTACAGTGAATACTGGCGGCATATGCCTGTTTAAGACTCGCCTGCTTGCTTCTCCTGTTCGATCGCTGCGACCAGAAAAAAAACAGAAAAGGAAAAAGATGGAGTGGGATGATTAAGGGGTTTCAGTACAGCCTAATATGGAATTAAAGGGCTTTCATTTGCAACATCTTTTCATATCCTAAACGTTCTGCAAGTGTACCTAGGTAGGCACGTCATAATCAAATAAAAAATGTTTACTGTTTTAAATAACGGTACATTTTCAGTGATAAATGTGTTTGTATATTATAGCGTATTAAATATTGCATTACTAAATTAATGACCCCTGTGTTCATGAAATCTTCCCCCTTAAGGTTCGCCCTATTGTTTTGTTTGTTTTTGTTTGGTTGAGATGGAGTCTAGCTCTGTCACCCACACTATAGTGCAGTGACAGGATCTGGGCTCACTGCAGCCTCCCGTCCCAGGTTCAAGCAATGCTTCTGCCTCAGCCTCCCAAGTAGCTGAGATTACAGGCGGTCTCCAGGAAGCCCAGTCAATTTTGTATTTTTTGGACAGACGGGTTTCCAACTCCTGACCTAAGGTGATCCCCCGCCTCGGTCTTCGGAGGTGTTAGGGTTACTGCACTAAGAACGATCTGATTTTTAATTACCTTTTGCAAGCCACATTCAACTATAGGTCGCCTGCGCGCACTCCCCCGCCTCCCGAAATTTTCCCGCTGCAGCTCCCAGTCTCCCTCCCACCGGCCGCTCCCATTCCAGCCTTTGTAAAGATGGGGGAAGGAGAGGGCTTACTTTCTTTGGAAGGTAGTGGATTTTTCTCATGCGTTTCTGTCTTCTTTAGTTTCCACTTATCGAATCTCTCGATCACAGCCATATCAGGTTTGTCAGACATGGCTAAGGAGGAAGTGGTAAGGCGCAATCCAAATACAGCGTGAGTAAGAGCCGCCTGTTCGGGTCTCTGGACTGGAAACTGTACTTCTGCCTTCCGACCCTCAGCCTGAAAGCTCTCCTCACCTTCCTTCCGCTGCCCTTCCGCGCTCACTAGCTTCCTCTTTCTACAGAAAAAGAGGCGACACCTTTCCTCCAATATTTCAAAACCGGGGGACCAAAGAGGGCGGATCCCTCTCAAAGTGGAATGTTCTGGAATAAAGGAAATTGACCACTGCGAATTGTTAATTACAGTGTTTAAAATTAAAGGCTGCTTGGTCCAGGAGAGAATGGGAAAGCCACTTCCGCGTTCCAGTGGGAAAAAATCGGGCAAGAATTCCTAAAATGGAGCCCAGCTCGCAAAAGCGTTTCCATTTTCTAGCGGCGGTCTTTCTGCAAAGAAGGAAGGCCAGGTCCTGCACCGGCTTTCTAGTCCTCTCACACAGGCGGAGGCTGCAGCTGGAGCTTAGACAACCGTTCTATCCGCTTCCTAGCCGGCGCCACATTGCAGCACAGCACACAAAGCGCGGCGGGAAAGCCAGTCCCGCCTGCACTCTCGGCAATTCGGCATCCCTGGCACACATGTGTCTGCAAGAAGGGCTGTGAAAATGTCACAGCACAGCCCCGCCGCCTCCAGGCTGCACAGATGCAGCCCGCACAGCCCTCTGAGGCTGGGAGATGCCTCGGGCTCGGGAGATGAGCCTCAGAACGAAGGATCTGTCTGTTCGCCCGAATCTCACCCTCCAAAACTACAAGGCCTTTGCGGGCCAACAGTAAGACATTTTAACACTATCCCTCCGAGCGGCACGGCAAAATGCCAGTTTTTTTATTTTGTTCTTAAATTATCGATGTCCCCATCGCATTACCCAGCATCTAGGATGTTTCGCATCCCGGCAGCCTTCCCGGGGAGAACCACTGGGCTCGGCTTTAGGGGATGGCTTTACAGGGACGCGGATAATGAAGGGGCCAACGCGGCAGGATGGGGACCGCAGTAGGAGTAAGGAGGCAGGGGCTCTGGGACTCACCGGAGCCAGGAGCGTGAGGGACCGAAATCTAGTCAGCGCAGTGTCCACCGCCGAGTTGCCAGGACGAGGTGGGCGAGCGCTGTTTTATGAGCCCTCCTACGTAAATGAAGTGATGTCACCCACAGGCCCTCTTAAGTCTTTGGCTCCACGTCTTGGGAGGGCCTCTGAAGGCTGCCGGGCGTTTGGGGAGCCATCCCGAGTCCACCATTGCCCCCTAACCACAACAATGACGAAAGAGAAAATGAGCAAAACACCGTCCAACACTGCCTTCAAAACGCATTTTCCCGTTTTACAAGAGGAGCGCAAAAATTGGTCTTGCGTACTGGTGTATACTAATTAAGGGTCGGGGTGATACCTAGGGTAACAGGCATTGTTTTGCTGAGAAATTGGCTTTATCTAGTGCAGACTTACGCACGCAAAGTCGCGGTGTCCCTCCCTGGAGGGCCTGGCCCGCTGCAGGGATGTTATTCCTGTGACTCAGCTTTCAGACCAGTGGAGGCCTATACGCCGCATTTCGGACCTCTTTGTCTCCCTTGCTAGCGTTCCTCTTGGCTTTGGCAGAACGTAAAGCAACCCTCAGTGATTTTAAAAGAGAAACTTCCAGCACTGTAACATCCATATTGTTTCATCAGCATAATCTTTGTGGGCACTCGACTCAACAGTAATATTTGCTGGATGTAATGTGTCTGGAGTTTATAGCTCCCTCTTAGCAAAATAAGTCAAGTTCAAGCTCTGCCATTGACTTACTGCCTGACAATGAGGAAATTCTTCACCTTCTTTTTTATTTTAATAGATTATCAAAGTGATTGCTAAGGAGGCCTGTGTTGAATTCCAAAGACTATAGTCCCATTATCTCTAACATCACAAGATAAAATTCAAAAATCAAATATATTTTTCAAGGGAGCGCTTCCAGCACTAGGACATCTCCAAAGTGCAACTGCATCTGGAAATATAAAAGATTTGGGTAGAGGGAAAAGCTTTTCAAAATGACACCTGACTATGTGAATTCCAGTGACCCACTTGCTAATGAAAATTATTACAAATACCATGTCCTGCACCTGCAAATGGCATGTGAAAGGAAGAAGATCTGCCGGTTATAAAGAGGCCTAATTGTGATTATTTCTGAGACAAGGTAGTGTGTAAAATATTTCTTCTCCTTTTGCTGTAACCTGAGCAAATGTTTTTTAGAAATCCGTTGCTAATTATTTTCATGGCACAGGTTTATGTGTCGCTGGGGATTTGAGTCACAGACTTCCCCGTTTCTTCATTTACTTGACTTCCTTTTTCCTGGGGAGGAAGCAGGTAGGGGTGAGCAGGAGCAGGTGCCATCTGGTTCCCTAGGTAACACTCTTCTGGTTGGATGCCTTCCTGCCCCCCGAAATGGGGCACTGGACCTGTTCGTGCATGCACCGAATGTCACCTGTCTAGTAACAGTCCCCCTTCCCTGTTCCATGTTGGGAGTCCACTTCATCACTGAAACAGAAAAGATCTTGCAGGGTGGCTTTTCGCCCGTTCAGCTTGCAGCTGCCCTTGTAGCTACACCGTTTCTGCAGATTCTGCAATTCCATTTTCCCTCACCCAGCTGCTGTAGAAAATCATTTCTTTTCTCCCGATGTCGCCTGATGATAAAGGAGTGCCACTACCTTCTTGTGGCCTTTTCTCCCAAGGGCTTTCCTCAGAAACAGTTAGGCCTCACTGAAACAATTCCCTAAAGGAGACGGATGAATGCAAACTTGGAAATGTCTGGAGAAGTTTTCCAATGCGGTAGCAAGCAGCCTTCCACTGCATGGAGACCTGATAGGCAGGTGGGAACAGAGAGGAAGAGAAAGAGAGGTGACCTACTTAAAGGAAAAAATTTCCCATAATTGGACTTGACCTGCCAACTGTTCAGGAAACTACAGAGAATGGCAACAGAAGGGTGGTTCAGATACAAGGAAATGCAAACCAAGGGAGTATTTTTAAAAGTTGCATGACTGGCCACGTGAATGAATCCTTTTGTGCTAGAGTTTTGTCATCTGTAAAACGGGTTCATTGCAGTACCTGCCTCACAGATTGGGAGGATTAAATGCTTTGGAGTGCATGACAATTAGTAAGCTCATTGCATCCTAGCATTAGGATGGAAGGTTGGGGACAAAATAATAAAATAACTGTTTACTGTTTAGAATAAATTAAAATTTTAGATGTCTTGATATTATGATTTGTCTTATAAAGTACCAATAAAAATCAGGTCTTTTGTTAGTTTTACAGTGAATAAAATATAAGAGTTCCTATTGGTTGATGCCTTCTAAAAGTCAGGCATTGAGAGTTTTACATTTTTTCTTTTTCATTTCATTTCTACTGCCTCTCTGTAAGGAGAGGCTTACAGATGACTAAACTGAGGCCTGAAGAACCATTATTTAGGTAACAGAGTTATGAGTTATGGCTTTCCATAACAAACTACTGAGATAACCCTGTTATGTATACCAAAGGGCACATAACAGTTACCAGCTTTATTTCCCTATTCTGCGCCTAAGAATTACCAGGAATATTGTAAGAAGAGGAGGCTGTTTTGCTTTCCACAATGTCTGGGGGTAGCAGTTGCTCAATAAACAGTTCTCACACTTCATTAAATTGACTTAAGTGAGGGAGCTAGTTTGGACTCTAATCAGCTTATTTTCTTCTGCAGATAATTAAATCCATTTAGTATTACTATTCTAGATTTTAGAGAAAATTCTTGCCCCAAGGAAAATAACATAAGTCAGTTAGAATATGCTGGACATAACCACCATTAAGAGAGGAATTCTCAATCCCAATTTGGAAGACAGGCATAGATAGTGCAAAAGTCCCTTAGTAACTCTAGGTTGCATGGTGCATTCCAGACTGAGGGCTCTCCAATGTAAGGTGAATAAAAAACACTGCCCTGACATCCTTCCTCATCTCATTGGCCACAATGGCTACTGAAATCTAAGTTCATGAAAATAAAATGTTATTTTTAACCTATTTAATTTTTTGCAGATAACTTACCAGAAGAACATAAGAAGAAAGAGGAGGAGGAACAGAAGAACAGCAACAAAGCTAAGCTTGCAACCCTTGCTTGGTTAAGCCCAGAGTTCTTCATCTGGATTTTGTTGGATTTTAAAGGCTCCTACCATCTGCTCCACCTGCCTACACCCCAGACTCCCCTGTGGCTCCTGCAGTACCCATCTGCTCATCCTGTTCTCCCTCACAGTGGAATCCTCCTTCCACTGATGGGAATCTAAATTCCCTTAAAGGCAAAGACCAAGGACAGGCACACAGTAGCTTATGCCTGTAATCCCAGCATTTTGGGAGGCCAAGGTGGATGGATCACCTGAGGTCAGAAGTTCAAGACCAGCCTGGCCAACATGGTGAAACCCCATCTCTACTAAAAATACAAAAATCAGCCAGGCATGGTGACACGTGCCTATAATCCCAGCTACTCAGGAAGCTGAGGTAGGAGAATTGGCTTGAACCTGGGAGGCAGAGGTTGCAGTGAGCCAAGATCATGCCACTGTACACCAGTCTGGGTAACAGAGTGAGTGTCTGTCCCAAAAAACAAAACAAAAGACGCAGCCCAAGGCTGAGTGTACTAGCTCACTCCTATAATCCCAGCACTTTGAGAGGTTGAGGAGGGAAGATTCCTTGAGTTCAGGAACTCGATGTATTGACCTGTAGTCCCATCCACTCAGGTAGCTGAGGGGAACTGATCACTTGAGCTTAAGGGGTGGAGGCTACAGTGAGCTGTGGTCAGGCTGCTGCACTCCAGCCTGGGCTACAGAGCAAGACCCTATCTCAAGGAAAAGACACACACACACACACACACACACACACACACACACACACACACACGACACAGCCCAGTTTCCCCTATTAGTGATAGAGAAGGGAAAGAAGAAAGAAGAGAAATGATATTTAGTGGATTAGCTATATCTTGTACTCTCTGTTAAGCCCTTTTGTATAATACCTTATTCAATTCTCACTCTGTTAGAACCCACCTATATTAGTGCCTATATTGAAATTAGTATTTATAGTAGTGGATACAATATCCTTATTTTTACTGCTAAAAGAAACAGGCTGGGAAAATTTTAAACAATTTGCTAGAAACCAAACTCTCAGATCTATCTGCCAAGCACTTTCATTGAGGCCCATAATCTGCCTTACCTTTATCTGAAATACATCTTTCTCTAGGATTCTTTTGGTGGACCCAAATTTTACAAAATGTGATGGTACAGAAGGCAACCCCTGCAAATGTGAGAAAAGCGAGCAGAGGATAACAACAAAGAGGAGTGAAAGAATACCTTCTAGAGTGCTCAGTGCTAAGTGCAGATTGCCCTGCTGCTAATTGTCCTGTTTGCTTTATTGATCCAATGGAAATTTTAGAGCCTAAAGAAATGCAGAAGGGGATCTCATTCAACCCAGTTTCCCTGCTGTGCCTTGAATTTTCCTCTACAACATCCCCTCTAAGTAGTTACTCAGCCTCCACATAGTCAGGGAACAATATGGGAGCAGAGAATCTTTGAGTTATGCAGGGAGCAATGAATAGCTTAGCTTGTCAGGCATTTACCTGACGTGAGAGAGAGTGACAAGATATAATGCTGGGAAACTGTCAGGGGCCAAGTTGTAGAATAATAATAAAAACCATGTCCGTAACCACAGAAGTAATAACAGCAAGCACTTTCTGAGTGTTTTCCATACACTGGGGAGCTTTCTGTGTACTATTTCCCAAATCCTCACGCAATCTTATGACAGTGGCACCATTAGTTTCTTCATTTTGGAGATGAGGGAATCCTAGAGTGATTACAGAAATTTCCCAGGAACACATCACACAAAAGCCAAAAACAGCATTTGGATTCAGACCGGGTGGCTCAGAAGTTGCCTCATTTAAACACTAAACTTCTCTAGAATCCTAATGTTTTGGAAAACTTTGATCTGTAGACCAAATAAGGGTAAAGTTATGTTCTGTCTCAATAAGCTGTCTGGCTATTTCCTCATGAAAACATTTAAATATAGATATTGTAATCATATATCATCTACATTAAAAATTTGCCTATCCCAATTTTCAAACTCTTTCACTGCAGAAATTCACTCTGCTCATCTTCCTACATGGCCAATGCACAAGAAATAACAGAAATTGTGTATCTGGAACATTGGTAATTTTCCTAAGCTTCTCACTACTTCAATTTTTAAAAGAAATTATCCATATTATGGTGGTTAAAAATATTTCTAGGTTCAATATCATATTGAAAGGGGAGCCATTATGTACTCCCAATGACAAACCTTTTACTCTATAGTCAAGCAGAATTATCATTAGCAAGTAACAAGTGTTTTTATATTTTAATGTGCCTCTTCTGTCGGTGTCAAAGCTTTTATATAAAATATAGTATTCAGATCATCAGCAAGAGGTGGTTAATGGCTCTATGGTAAGGAAAACAAAGTGTAGGTAATGGACCACTGGGTCACATCTGAGGGGAAAACCCAGATAGGCCAAGATCAACCTCCTTGGCTGACCCTCATGATTTGGCCTATCCTGGACTGGCTTCACAGGTGCACAGTCAAGCAGCAGCACTGGGTCACATGCTTAGAAGGACCCAGTACTTGCCTTAATATTCTGCTGCCACCATTTTGAAATTCTTGATAAATTTTGAACGATGGGCCCCATTTTTGCACTGTGTTTCCCAAGTTCTGAAGCCAGCCCTCCCCCTTTTAGATTCTCATTCTCTTAGCACCTCCAGTACCACTATTTTTTCCTGGAACCAAAAATGGGCCCATACTCACATGTCCCCTCCTTTGCCTATAATGAATGATCTCTTAGGTCATGTCCACCAATACTTTCCATATGAGAGAATTTCCTGTTACTCTTGGTTCACTTGAGAATGTGAGGGCAATGTAGAAAAAAAAATTTCATTAAGAAACTAGAGGAAACCAAATTTTAAAGCACAAAACAGTGGGTTTCTTAGTCATGCTAGAGCCTAAACACAACTTCACTTGACTGGCACAACGAAGAGGCTACAGAGTCTTGGTTCTTTTACCCAACTCCAGCCTACTTTGCAGGAGGTATGGATACTGGACCAAAGTTCTCACATCAAGCTTTCCCAGTAGAGGCAGTGGCATCAATGCTTGCATTACGGGAATTCTTCATTCCTCCTTTGATTTTCTCTCTAGTTGAGGGCTAATCTTTTTGACCTGGTGCTGGACCACACTCATACATAGCAAACAACCCCAGGAAATCTTTGACCTCCAAGAGAGAGGAACTTTTCAGCATCACCTCCAGTGGTTCCTTGTTGGAGTTCTTATACTGTCTTGTCCTAATTTTGCAGTTAATTTGGCCAGCTTTCCTGCAATTTTTCAAAGCTCTTTGACATTAACCCCTTCCTAGTGCTAGTGGATCAGTCTGAGTGTGTGCATAGGATGATCCAGACCATTCACCTTCTACAAAACTTGTGTCTGAGTCTAGTTGTCCCCAGAGCTGGTATCCTGGAGCAGTCACTAAATTTTTCTAGGGACTGTGAGAGGAGCATATACCAGTTCTCTTCTTTTCCTTTCTTCCAGGTTATTTTTTCCTATCTGAGGGATGTCTACAGCTTAGCTAACTAGCTCGTCATAATTTACTGATATGTACAAAGGCCAGTGACAGAGCAAGCCTGTATCAGCATCTCCAATGGCTTTTTTAGTTCTCTCTGATGCTGGCACTTGCAGAACGCTTCCCAGGGGAAGAAGGTCATGCCATAGTACTTCATCCTTGTATTTACTTTACACCTAAGATAGAAAAAAAATAGGCACAATTTCTACCAAGCAATAAGGATAATGCCAGCGATTTCACCCTTAAGTACATACCCAAAATAACTGAAAGCAAATATTCAGATATACTTGTATACTTCATCATAGCAGCATTATTGATGACAGCCCAAAACTGGAAATAACCCAAATGTCCATCAATGTATGAACGGATAAATAGGATTAATATATCTATATTATGGAATATTATTCAGTCACAAAAAGGAATGAAGTTCTGGCTGGGTGTGGTGACTCATGCCTATAATCCCAGGACTTTGGGAGGCTTGATGTGGGTGGATTACCTGAGGTCACTCAGGAGTTCAAGACGAGCCTGGCCAACATGGTGAAACCCTGTCTCTAATAAAATTACAAAAATTAGCTGGGCATTGTGGTGGGTGCCTGTAATCCCATGTGAAAACTACTAGGGAGGCTGAGGTGGAGAATTGGAACCTGAGAGGTGGAGGTTGCCATGAGCCAAGATATTGCACCACTGCACTCCAGCTGGGTGACAGAGCATGACTCCGTCTTAAAAAAAGAATTTCTAACACATCCTACAACAAATATGACTCTCACATATGTTATACTAGTGAAAGTAGGCAGACACAAAAGATCACATATTGTGTGACTCAGTTTTCATAAAACTACAAGAAAAATTAAATCTACAAGAAATTAGATTAGTGGTTGTCAGAGGGTTGGAGGAAGGAGGAATGGAGAGTGATTGCTTGATGGGTTGGAGTTCCTTTTGGTGATAAAAATGGAACTAGATAGAAATGGTAGTTACACAATACTGTGAATGTACTAAATGACACTAAATTGTTCATTTTGAAATGGTGGAACTTTATTTTACATGAATTTCTTTTCAAAGAAGAATGGAAGGAAAATGAACATTTAAAAAAAAAATTTCTCATTACCCAGACTTTGATTATGGGGAGACAGGAGGAGGGCAGGGGTGCAGTGAGATTCAGGTGATCTTATCTCTTTTTGTGTCATGGCCCTTTTACCATAGAAGATGACATAGTGATACTGGAATTGTTCTTCATGCTAAGCAAACAATAACACACCTGGTTTTGTTGTAGTAGTTGCAGTGATGGTGATGGTGGTGGGTGGTGTATTTTGTTAGTTTTTGTCGTCCAAGAATTGATTTCTCAGATTTGCTTGACTTAAAAACACCTAAATTTACTCATTTATGAAAGTGGCTTCTCCAGCATGTGTATGTATATGTTTTTTACTACTTACATTACTTGTTACAAAGCCTAGACATACGGTTGGACATCAAGCTTTCTATTTTTTAATCTAGACACGGACACAATGTTAGTTTAAGTCAGGATGAAACATTTTAGTGTCTGAATTTTATATTTTGCCATCTGTGATTATGTTTGCATGAATGCCTTACTTTTGTAGCTAGAACACTGTGTTTGGTTTTGTGTAATGAAATATTTGGCTGACCTTTGTCTCTAGCTCCTGGGAAGTAGTTTCTAAACACTTGGAATTTCATAAGTGATTGGCGTGTCTTTGTTATTCATAGTGGGCCCCCTGGACCAGGCCTGATTGTTTATAATACTGAGATGGCTTACACTGGACAGTTTATGCTAATTAGATGATTCAGGATAGGGACTGGCTGATTAGAGGGTTAGGGCTTTGAGCTGTAAGATACAAACCCAACCTCTGGAAGGGACAAGGGGAGCTGGAGATTTAAACATATGGCCAATGATTTCATCAATCATAGCTGTGTGAGTCCTCAATAAAATCTTGGTACTCCAAAGCTCAGGTGAGCCTCCTTGGTTGACATTACTCCTTGAGTATTGGCACGCTTTCATGTTGGGAGGATAGCACATCTCTAAAGATGACAGAAGTGTTGCACCTCGAACTCCATCAGACTTCACCTTGTGAATTACTTCTTTGGGCTGATTCTGCTCTATGTCCTTTTACTACAATAAAACTGTAAATGTAAGCATTGCACTGTCTTGAGTTTCTATGTCATTTTAGCAAACTGATGAACTCCAGTGTAGTTATGGGAACATTCCAATTTTTAGCCAGTTGGTTAGAAGACAGAGACAACCCTTGGGATGCTTTAACGAAGGACTGGTATCTGAAGTGATCACAGTCTTCTGGAGGACTGGCCTTAAATTATAAAGTTTAGCTTAACTCTGGGTAGATTACAGAATGAAAATGTGGGAAAAAGTACTCTCTTTTACTAAAACTGTGTAAACCATTCCAAGCCCCCAACCATCTGAACGGACTCTTCCTCTCAGCCAAGGGCATTCCGAAACTAACCTGAAAACTAATTCAGGCCATGATGAGAAGGAAGGGCCAAACATGCCTCATTATACGGCCTTTCCTTTTGAAACTCAGGAAAAGGTGACTAGCATTTATCATCAACATGGACCTTAAGTCTGATAAGAAAAATTTACAATCTATTTGCTCTGAAGCCTGCTATCCAGGGACTCAACTGAATTAAAAAATTTTGGTCTCCACAGTCCTTTATTGTAATGCAAGTATTTTCTTTCTATTGATTCGATGTCTTTAAATAATAACTCTCTCAGTCAATTGCTAATCAGAATATATTTAAAACAGCTGGGTACAGTGGCTCATGTCTATAATCTCAGCACTTTGAGAGTGTGAGGCAGATGAACTGCTTGAGACCAGCATGGACAACAGGCAAGTCCCTATTGCTAGGGGAGACAGAGAGAAGGAGAGAGAGAGAGGAGAGAAAAGAGAGGAGAGAGAAGAGAGACAGAGACAGGGAAGGAGGGAAGGGAAGGGAGGAAGGGAGAAAGGGTGGGAGGGGAAAGAAGGAAGGGAGGAAGGGAGGGAGGGAAGGAAGGAAGGAAGGAAAAAGAAAGAAAGAGATAAAGAAAGAAGAAAGGAGAAAGAGAGAGAAAGAGAGAAGAAAGAAAGAAAGAAAGAAAGAAAGAAAGAAAGAAAGAAAGAAAGAAAGAAAGAAAGAAAGAAAGAAAGAGAAAGAGAGAGAAAGAAAGAAAGAAAAGAGAGAAAGTGAGGAAGAGAGGAAGGAAGGAAGGAGAGAGAAAGACGAAAGAGAGAAAAATTTTAAAATCTACCTAGGAACTGGAAGACCCTGCTTCAAGTTGGCCCACCTTTCAAGATCAAACTACTGTATATCTTATACATATTGATTGATATCTCATATCTCCCTAAAACATAAAAAAGCAGGCTTTACACCAACCACCTTGGGCACATATCATCTGGATCTTGTAAGGCCATGTCACAGGTGTGTCATTAACTTGGGCAAAATAAACTTTCTAAACTGATAGAGATCTGTCTCAGATAAATCTTTGGTTTCACAATTGGTAACCACAAAGGGATTCTGTTTGACTGGAGGCTCCCCTGATATTTGACAAACCTTCTATGGCTGTTTGGTACCAGCTTGAGCTACCCTTATGACTCAAATGAGTAGGACAATTTTCTGAGGCCTGAAAATACCTCACCTCTGGAGAATCTCTGATCTCACAAAATTTGGTCAAGATCATTTTGCTGTACAACTCCTTTTCTGGAGTTTTACTTATTTCCAAAAAGGAAGGCAAGTTTTCCTGCTTCCACCACTGTAGAGAGTGGGAACCCACTATCTGGAATTTTAGATAACTTTTAACAAGGAAGACAAGTGTGAGTTTTGTTTTATTTTATTTCACTTTAAGTTCTGGGATACATGTGCTTAACGTGCCAGTTTGTTACATAGGTATACAGGTGCCATGGTGGTTTGCTGCACCTATCAACCTGTCATCTAAGTTTTAAGCTGAATATGCATTAGGTATTTGTCATAATGCTCTCCCTCCTCTTTCCCTCCACCCCCCAACAGGCCCCAGTGTGTGATGTTCCTCTCGCTGTGTTCATGCATTCTCATTGTTCAACTCCCACTTACAGGTAAGAGCATGCAGTGTTTGGTTTTCTGTTCCAGTGGAAGTTTGCTGAGGATGATAGCTTCCAGCATCATCCATGTCCCTGAAATGGACATGAACTCATTCTTTTTTTATGGCTGCATAGTATTCTATGGTTGTGTATATGCCACATTTTCTTTATACAGTCTTTATATGGGCATTTGGGTTGGTTCCAAGTCTATTCTACTGTAAATAATGTTGCAGTAAACATATGTGTGCATGTTTCCTTATAGATGAATTATTTATAATTCTTTGGGTATATACCCTGTAATAGGAATGCTGGGTCAAATGGTATTTCTGGTTCTAGATCCTTGAGGAATCGCCACACTGTCTTTTACAATGGTTGAACTAATTTACACTCCCACCAACAGTGTAAAAGCATTTGTATTTCTGCACATCCTCTCCAGCAGCTGTTGTTTCCACACTTTTTAATGATCACCATTCTAACTGGTGCAAGATGGTATCTCATTATGGTTTTGATTTGCATTTCTCCAATGGCTTACAATGACTTTTTTCATATGTTTGTTAGTGGCATATGTCTTCTTTTGAGAAGGATCTGTTCATATCCCTTTCCCACTTTTTTTTTTTTTTTTTTTTTTTTTTTTTTGAGACGGAGTCTCGCTCTGTCACCCAGGCTGGAGTGCAGGGGCCGGATCTCAGCTCACTGCAAGCTCCGCCTACCGGGTTCACGCCATTCTCCTGCCTCAGCCTCCTGAGTAGCTGGGACTACAGGCGCCCGCCACCGCGCCCGGCTAGTTTTTTGTATTTTTTAGTAGAGACGGGGTTTCACCGTGTTAGCCAGGATGGTCTCGATCTCCTGACCTCGTGATCCACCCGTCTCGGCCTCCCAAAGTGCTGGGATTACAGGCTTGAGCCACTGCGCCCGGCCCCCTTTCCCACTTTTTAATGAAGTTGTGTTTTTATTTTCTTATAAATTTGTTTAAGTTCCTTGTAGATTCTAGATATTAGACTTTTGTCAGATGAATAGATTGTAAAAATTTTCTCCCATTCTGTAGGTTGCCTGTTCACTCTGACAATAGTTTCTTTTGTTAACAAGAAGCTCTTCAGCTTAAATAGATCCCATCAATT